AGGAATGTAGTAACACTTTAGATTATAACTCATCAAATGATAAACCAATTGCTCTGTACTGCTAGTTGATGATTCTGTATAGTTTGATTATTGTCCATTATATGATAATCCTTACCAGAGCTAGCTTAGCTTGAATGGAGTGAATGTGCTAACTTGAAATAAAAGTACCTTTAATTCTGAAGGTTTCAAAAACTATATTTCATACGGAGTCATATAAACAACATGGAAATCAACTGGCCACCAGTGTAATCAAGCTACCACTGGGGAAGAACATGGCATTACACTTGGCTGCACTAAAAACAGATAACTTTGAAGGAGGATTAAAGAAAAATTCCCTCAACTGCAACTAAAAGAGAAATTTAAAGGAAAAAATATAATTAATTTAAATCTGACTGAGGCCAACACTTTTACTCCAGTCAGTAGAACAGTATGTTTAATTTGAAAGATGTAAAGTATTATGGCCGTTGCCAAGTTTTCAAAAAGTGTCTACCAAAAGATCAATTTTACACCAAACAATTAATTTCATTTTCTGAAACTATCCCCTGAATATAGCAAACATATTCATCTGAAATAATTCAGTTTATGAAGCTGAGTCATTTCAAAAGAACATGCGTTACATTCAAAAGCAATAAACTGAGGTGCTATAATGAAAGTAGCTAGCAAGCTTTCAGCCAAGGTTGATAGTCTATTTAAAATGCACTTTGGCATAGAGGTACAAATTCCAACCAAAATGGACTATTAACTATCAAACTTGCTGAAGCCACACTGATATACTGGGTGAGCAACAATAACACTAGTGTTCCTTGCTGATATAAATTAAGTGTTCAAAGATCATCATTCCACAAGTTATCTTGGTATATAGTCTAGCTCAAGATACTATGTGTTACTCAAGTTAATAATTATGGCAGGACCCAATGTTGGAAACGAAATCTATATTTTGGATCCAACTGTAGCTAATCTTATAAAGTCACTTTAATTACAGGATGTAGTGATGGATAGCTAATCAATTATCAGAAGTTCTCTTGTAATGTTGTCCTTTTTACCCAAGAAAAAGCTGCCATTTATCTTTTAACAGATCAGCATAGACTGCTGTAAAACACTGAAACCATTTGGCAGAAGAAAACTGCGGTTCTACTCTAATATTTTAATCCCAGACTTCTGATAAAGGCTGATTAACTGTAGCCAGAATAAATAAAGCTCTTAGTAGTTGGGGAAGATTCCTTTGACACACGACTTTGTTTCAAATTGATCTGGTTGGTCACAACCTGAAGTCCCACATACTCTGTGGGATGAGATCACAGGTAATCATAATGTAAAATTAAAATGAGATTGTACAGAGAAAAAGTAGCATATTGATAAAGTAGTTCACTTAAGCTTGCATATTAAAGGGATGCTGTTAACAATTCAGGCAGTCTTTCTAAAAGGTGTGAATTTTAAAAAGCTGTTATTAGAAATATTTTCATGGAATTTTAATTCATAGAAAGCATTTTTTCCAAGACTTCTCTGCAGCCTCTGTAACAAAAATTATTGCCACAACGTATTAATGGATATAAAAGAAAAACGTACACACTGAGAAAGGTGAAACCCTTTAGCCTAGTTTTATTAGTCAGACTGAAGGAAGCACAAAAGGAAGGGCCTTTTGTGCCCCAACCTGTCCTACATCTTTCCCAACTATACAGTTGGTGCAAAAAAAAACTATCACAAGAAAACCTTTGCCTGAAGGACAAATAGAAAAATTTATTATAAATAAAGAATTGAATCTGATTTTTCTTTTTCTTTTGTAAAATAAGGTATCAGCAATGCAAGATAATGACTTATCGTTGTGACATTATCTTGGCAGGGCTCCTTTCAAAGAAAGGCTAGAAATATACTTGATCCACTACTGATCCTATGGCAGTAACATTTAAAAACACTTTGCAAATAACAGTTTTATAATACTGTTAACTTATGACAATTACAAAAATACTTGAAAACACAAGAATTTGGACAAGACCAGACATTTATTTACATTTCAAGTATAAACAACAAGATGTTCTAGTCACTACAGCAAAATAAAAAGATCGTGAGAAATTATCCAAAGTAGCTTGTTAAAAGATACTTACAGATATCAGTAAAAAAAAAAAAAAAAAAAAAAAAAAAAGATACTTACACATTATCTTCTACACAAATTTTGGGCCCAACTACATTGGCTGCTCCACTTGCCATTTTGAAGGCAAAGTGCTTTTCAGGACAAGCTTTTGAAATCCCACATTTATATCTTGGAGGTTTTGTAGCTTTGGAAAGAAAATAAAGAGATTTAGATACATTGTTAAGAGAAAGTAGGTGTAGGAGAATAGTCAATTTTCAAATGGATTTTAAGGAAAGAGTGGAAACATGTCTTAAATGGTCCACTTATGAGGCACAGTGAAATTGAAAAATAAAAAAATTAAGAACCTAATGCAAAAGTCATCGAAATCAGTGGTAACCTTTCTACTGACTTCAGTAGGTTTTGCATCAGGCCCTAAGTGGCTCGTCTTTGGCAGATGAAGGAAAAGAACTTAGATCCCAAACCTACAATTCAAAAAACATTTCTCAACGTTCCTTCCTTGTTATGTAAACTTTGAACCGCTTAAAAGGCATGACAGATATCAGCAAAAACAGTGCTAACATTAGTAATTGTTGGGAGAATCATCTTCAGATGTAGGGCCACAAAAGCAACCCATTTCTTCCTCTGATAAATTATTTCCTCATCCTTCATAAAAGGAATCTTACAATTACTTCTGGTAAACTTGCATGCTCCCTTTTATTTTCCAAAAGATCACACTGGTCAAATAAATAACAGAACTATAGTTTAAATACTGGACAGTATGACAACAAATATCTATTTTAACTAGTCTGATCTGATTGAGACAATTCTTTAATTAGACTAGCAACAACCATCTGCTTCTGAGTCTAGTTTCACTAATTATCATCTCTGATGGCAATTTCTATGTTGCAGCAAGAATTACTATTAAATAAGCTGGACCTGTAACACATTTATTGAACTAGTCAGCATTTGTCTTAGTACCTGTAGCCTCTTCCTAACCCATACTAGACAAGGGTGGGGCAGGAAAAACAAAATAAGCAAACCCACCAATAGTAGCAAAACTATAGTGGGGTGGGAGAGAGCTAGGCACTAGCTGTGAGGGGGTGCCAGAATTCCCCCCTCCCCCAAAGTCTTTGCCATGGGAGGGTCAGACCTGTACTGCTTAGCCATAGGAGTTGGGCAGTGCAGCCCCGCACCTAGCAATGCATTTCCTCCCTTCATCCCTCCCTGGGAGTTTGTTATATTTGGGGGGTAGAGTAGAAGGGAAGCAGCAGTGGCAACAGTATCAGCTGCCTTCACTGTACAGATAGCCTGGACAGGTAAGACATCCCTTTCCCTCGTCACTCACCCCAGCCATGTACATCTCCAGTGGTTGGCATACCACCCCTCCAGCCCCCAGACACTGAATGAATTGGCTATGCATCTGCCAACTAGACTTAGGATCAACAGAAATAAGAAAAATCAGCTAAATATAAGCAAAGCTTTAGTGACTATAAAAATCAAATGCGCTGTTACTTGTTAGAGTGAGTCAAAGCTCCCAGTGCTGCCCTAAATTAAAACACGACAGCAGCTCTTATATCAGCCTCTCCGTGCTTCAAAGTATCAGCAGAGCACTTAAAGCTCATTTAACGAGCATTAATTCAAATGCCCCTGCCATTTTGAAGCACGGGGACACTAATACATGGGAGGCTGCTGGACTGTGGCAATTACCATACTTTAGCAGACTCAATTGATCGAGTCTCCTTGGACATTCTGTAATTATAGTGCGTCAGTGCAGCCTCAGCACTTGTATGCAGGCAAGACCTATGTACACCAGTCAATGGGAAGTAAATACCAACTGTATTAACTGTGGACTACGAATACTTACAACGTGCAGCCATATCCAGCGCTGATCTGGCTAAAACGCAGAAGAAAGTCTTTAATGGGTTTTAGCAAGACTAAAATTTCACCTGAAATACAATTTTTATTATCCTATAAGGCAGAGCTTTCCAAACTTTTCATGTTGGTGACACACTTTTTAGACATGCATCATTTCGTGACACAGTAATTCAGTTCCACGGGAGGGGCCAAGGGAAGCAGATGCGAGTAAGGGAGCTCCGTGGTGCCCTTCCGCAAAATTTTCTGCATTTCGCGTGACACACCTACACACTGCCGCCGACACACTAATGTGTCGCGGCACACAGTTTGGAAAGGACTATCCTATAGCCCTTTATAAAATGATCAGTACAAGTCTGGTTGTTTACAACACCTCAGCCAATACTTACAAGCTTTCCATTCAAATATAAAGCACCACCATTTATGGTAGAAGAAAGATTAAGGTATCAACAGTCTAAAATTCAGTTTTTATGCTTTTTTTTGCCCATCAGTTTTTGTTTGCCAATTTTAAATACCAAGGTGCTGGTGACAGGTGAACACTTATAGATCCATAGAATTTCTGCTACTAATGCCATCTGAAAAAAATATGCAGAGAGCATCTAAAAACTGAGCACTCCTCATAAGTTTTTTTTAAAGTTAGGTTTTAGGCTACATGGACTTCAGAAAAAGTACATGCACTAGACACATTTGCAGCGCATCCACACATGCACGTGCACTTGCACCAGCTCAAATAGGAGTGGCATACTCTTAGAAGCCTAGCAATTCTTCTGGAGCATTATTATTCCAGGCTATTGGAAAGCACGTCCCAAGTCTGGGAGTTACGTAGTGAAAAAAATTAGAAGCTACTTACCAAACAGGTTTCCTAAGTTTGCATCCATTTTTATTTCAAATACTTGTGTTATAACATAAAATGTCAGCAAAAATATTGCTACAGCTACCACCAATTTTGCCGCACCTATTCAGAACCACAAAAATGTTCTTAGTATCTACTTATATTTTATAACTTTATATATAACAATCAGGTTCTATTTATGAAAAGTTACATGAGAAATCTGCAGTTGCTTATGCTAAATAAAGTATTTCTAGAAATAGAATGACAATTAAACAATAGAATAAACTAAAAAAATGATATATGAGGAAAATCAAAAGGAGAAAACTTTCAAAGTCTGAATTTCAATCACTGCAATGCAGCTCTCTTACATGCATACTGTCAAGTTTAGCTACACCTTCCACCTTATAATAGGACACAAATTCATGTATAATTTGAAAATAGCACATTAAACAAAACTGCCACCGAGAGAAGTCTATATATAAACTATTAATACAAATTCTTAGGGGGAGAATTAACAGACATTCTGTTGTACCTATGAACATGTTATACATGAATTTTATTATGTATGAGTGGGGAAGAGTCTCTCTTTACTTCTTTTGTTCTCGCATTTCCTTTTCTTTCTACCTCCATTTATCCTTGTTTTTCTGTATTATTTATCCTTGTTTTTCGGTATGAGATCCAGTGAGTATTATGGACCTTGTTTTTATACTGTAGTAGCTGCTTTGCTAAAAACCTCATCAGGTCTGAGCATTACATTTAGATAAGTTATCAATTTTGCACCTTTTTATTGGAAGGTTTCCAAGTAGGTTTTAATGTATACTGTATTTCCTTTTCAACGGGAAGCAGAAAAAGGTTAGATAAAGCCCAGTTAAAGACCCATAAAAGCAATAATTCCTCCTATCCCCTCCCCCTTTTCTTTTTAGGTGGCCCAAAAGCATAAGAACCCAGCTATCCTGCTACATTTGTGATAGTGGAGGTCAAGCAACATGCTGAGAGATGAGTGGGTTTCGAAGAACTGTTAGCCTAGTAATCAGCAGCTTGTATCTGAAATAGAAACTCAGTTTGTACTGAGGACAGGACAACCATATTAACTAACTCCTGCTGTTTTTTATTACATATATGCCACTTTCCCTCATTATTTCCAACAGATTTACAGAATAAATTGCTTTTAGTTTATGGTACGTACTGAACACCTGGGTTTGAAAGTGCTTATTTAAGCAACCAGGCATCGAAATAACACCTCTGCCCTCAGTTCTTCTCTGCTATGTTAGAGAAAAGGGAGATTATAGGAGGGGAACGAACATCACTAGTGAACTTACTGGTCTTTCAAAAAATTGCAGCATTTCTAGACCTTACCAGAATCTTTATGGTCTTAGCCCCCTCTTTCAGCATATTAAAGAATGCAATTAGTCAACTACTGTATTTACTTGACTACAAGATGAGGCCTTTCCCTCACAACTAGCATGTGGGAAAAAGCCCTTCATCTTATAACCACATACAAGGAAATCTCACTAAATACATTCTCTATAATTAAACTGCTGCCAGAAGCAGCATGTGCTCAGCAATGGAAACCAACCATAATGTTGATTAAATGCAGCCAACACTGAGCATGACTATAAAACACATGGCCTACACTGGGCAAACATGATGATGGGAACCCTGGGTTTTTTGTGGCCCTGGGGAAAAAAAGAACAAACATGCAGGCATTTCCTCCTTAGGGAATTGGCACCAAGTCCAGCAGCACTGCAATACCAAGCCAGCACTGGGAGGGCCACAGCCTGCCCCAACACCCCCGCCGCCCCCGGTGCCAAAAAATGCTACATTTGATATAGTAATGGGAACCTACCACAAGGAAATGTCAGTGTAGCTCATCTAAATAAAATATATGATAGTGCCCATTAAGCACAGTTCCCTTCACCATCAACTCTTTTTCAAGTCACGGTGACTCACAACATTGCATATCCCAAATTCCTCTGCCACTCCCTCTCTCAGCATGGCATGTATGATTAGTGTGGCCCCACCTCCATGAGGTGAAATTGGACTAGGTTGTCCTGCACCTCATCTGCAAATATAAATAATTTTGGAGCATCCCAAGGTTTGTGACAAAAACACCAGGTTCCGGGCATGAGTGGAGGCTATTTAGGGAATGGATTCTTGGGGGTGTGGGGGAAAAGAAGCAGAAAGATCTGGAGTACACACATACTGAACAGTGCTGAGCTGCAGGGTCACTGTGGCTTGAAATGCTGTTGACTCTGGCGGAGCCCAGCCCAATGAACTATATGGTAAATCATGAGCCTTTTGGCTTTGGACTAATACCATGCATAGGTTGTGCTACATATAACTAGGCACCAAAGCACTGTTCGTGATGTTTTCCCAACGCTCATGACTGTATAATATCACGTCCTGTACACAGCTAAATAGTAGTTATATAGCATTGGGAAAACACATCGCTATGGTATTAGTCAGAGAACTGAATCCCTGCCAGAGTCCTATTGATTTGGACACAAAACACTTTGGCTAATATGTCACTTGTTAAAGTCTAGTCATTTTCATATGTACACATATACCGAGTCAGTGAAATTTGCTTTTGTTACTCGATGCCCTACATAGCACCTGCCAAGCCAGGTGATGGTTATAAAGCACTGGATATTCTTCAGTTTTTCTTGATTCAACAAGTTGTAGATGATCAACTATTCCATTTTGCAGAATGATCCCACTGAATGTTATTCTCACCTGCTACCCTCATGTTTACTCTTCAGCCAGTTAATGGCACTACCGCATTAAAGAAGCCACCTAAAAGGACAAAGAAAAACACGGTATTAGAGCAGGCAAACAAGCAGTTTATCTTTGTTTGTTAATACTATTATCATAATAATGAGAATTTCCCAGCTAATAGTACTAATTAAAATTTCACAGACCATTTAACATGTGACCTTCTTTTTAAACCATTGTTTTGTAACGCTCAAGTGAAAGGACAAAGAAATGAAATATGCATTTCTGATGTGCTGCTTTCGTTTACCACTTTTCTGAAACAAACTATTTGAAAATTGTGTTATTCTAATCATTCGTGTTTGAATTTCACCAAGTTCATCAGGCAGACAAGGTTCCTTGGGTGAATTTGATATCTTTTATTAGACCAACCCAAATGGTTGGAGAATAGTTATTAAGCAAGCTTTCGGGTTCAAAAACCCTTCATCAGGCTAAGGAAGCTGCAGCAGTTGGTGTGTGCTCTTCCTGGATGGAATGAAAAGTAAACAAGTCAGGGGCTGGGCTGGGCTGGGGAGTCAGTTCCAAGTTCATCATATACTCTCTCCATTTTTGCCCTTTGCTTTGACATAACAAGGTCTACATATTCAATTTATATTCTCAATCAGCTACTTAGAAGGTCATACATTATCCTTTGCTTTCTTGTAGCCATTCAATTTGTACAGTACAAATGCACACAAACAGCTATAGTTATCAGTACCATTTTATACTTCTAAGGATCTTTTGTACCAAGATTGTTTCATGGTATTGTGGCATGTCAAACTTTTGAGTACTGCCTCTCTAATATTTAGATTAAAATAATTAATGATCAAATTGCAAAGTCTATGCACAAAAAATACTGCTTGAGCAAAAAAAGATACAATATGTGAAGCACAAGGAGGAAAAAGATCTGCACACACATTTCCTATGTGAGTCACAAGTTAAAATTACTCATGAAGCAGGTGGTCAGACTCCAAGTCTGCAGAAGGAAGAATTAAAAGGCCCTACAGGACAAAGGTGTTTTAAGAGGTCTAAAAATGGGATAAGAAGAAGGAACAATGAACTGACCTTCCCATTCATGCCTGCACATGTGGGTTAGCAGTGAATAAGTCTTCTGGATAGTCACCCAAAAGTTACTTGTTAAAAATGGCAGCTGGAATGTTACATAGGGATTCCATGGTGCAACCCTGGGTATCCTTTGGACTGGAATGATAAACAAACCTGTTCAATTGGCTCCCCATAAAGAAATATTTCTTTTTTCCCTTCATCTGACCAAAAACTAACTCAATTTCAAAGCACTGATAAAGCACCATAGCCACATAAAGCTTATTATTAGTATAGGGGTTTCACAGCAGCACATCTACTCTGGTCAGAGCGAGTATTACTTGTTACATCTTCCACAAATTCTTTGAATTACCTATATGCTTAAAGGCAGATTATTTTATCTGGAAAAGGGTGATTTAGGGGCTTATTTTTCTTTAACTCCCATCTATATCTGATGCCTCATTGAGCTTCACCTTGATAGAACTGGAGAAGAATTTGCACTTAAAAAAAACCAAGGTTATACTTGTTATTGCCTCCAAGGGCCTATTATTACAGCAGGATTTACATAAGCATACAGCAGCTATTTTGTGAGTATAAACATAGTATAGCCTTTATTCTGGTAGTCAGGTGATAAGACTGGCAGATAGCAAGGACAGCACAGGATTAAACACTGATCAAAAGAGCATTTCTATTCCACTCATATATTATAAGCAATTACATCAAGCACACATTATTGCACCTTGCAATTTGCTGATTAATAATCTTTATAATTACAACTTTCCTTTTTCATACCTATTGCACCAGGTTTGGCTGTACTATACTACCTGTTTTGCCCATGCCATGAATCTTTACAACTTGCTATAATTTAGTAAGTTCATTAATCAGTATCCCTATGCATCCATTGTTTCAGATTTGATCATACTATCCTAGATTCTTTCCTTATCTACTACAGCAAATTGTACTGATTCTATCCATCTCAGGATGTTGAACAGATTCCAAATGTTCCAATGCACTGTGCTACCTTCAACAAAACTTTAAACTGGCAAACTTAACTCTGAGTGCTCCTGGCCTGCTCTGTGGTCCATATTATAATAATTATTATTATTACTATTACTGTTATTATTATTATGTTTTATAGTAAGAGAACAATTAAAATTCTAATGTTATAATACCTAGTTTAGATACCAAAAAGTATGGATGCAAGTTGTACAAGCGTTCTAAACTGAAAGAAAATGTAATTTACAAACTTCAAACTTTTTGTTACAATCTGTTCACTGCAATACTTCATTACAATAAATTTCATTACAAGACAAAGCAGGAAGAGCACAGAATATTATCAGAAGCTTTATGAAAACTTAATGAAGGCAACTGTACTTCATCTCTAGTAGGAGACACTTCCTAACGGGCTCAAGAAAAGAGATATGAAAACCCCACTCTATTTAAGAAGTGGTGTGAGTACTATTTCTGATGATTCATTTACATCATCAAAAGTACCACACAGACTTGCTCAGTTTCAAACACCTTGTTGACGATTCAAGTTCACTAGATGGTAACACAATAATTCTAACAGTCCTTCCAATCATTTTATGAATTGACTGAAAAATAAATTTGTTTCTCTTTACTTTGATATGAACCCATTACACAGGGATAGGAATATTACTACCCAAATGCTTGCATAACTTAATAAAGTCCAATAAGGAAAGCAAGTTCTGCTCTTACTCATTCTTGTGAGGAAGAAGGTATGAAGTTCACATTTATCACACACTTCATAGCTAGAGGCTGGCCAACAGAATAAGCAGCTCTCAAAGAAAGGACACAGCAAAAAATCCTAGCACCCTACCAGTGAGCTAAGAGCACGAGTTTTCTAAAACTCCAAACTTGCCAACATGCAACAAAAGTCACCTAAGTACAGGTTTCCCTCGTTGTATGCAGGTTCTGTATGTGCATATTCACTCTTATGCAATAACAAGTTTTTGGTATAAAAAGTCATATGCGAGGTAAATTTAACGAAAATTTAGCCTGCAAAGCAAACCAAACTGGCATGCATCCACCGATGCATCTCAAGCAAAACCAAGGACGTCATCCTCCCACTCTACTCGGGGTTAGTGAGGCCACAGCTAGAGTACTGCATCCAGTTTTGGGCCCCCCACTTCAGAACAGGCGTGGATAAGCTTGAGAGAGTCCAACAGAGAGCCACCTGCATGATCAAAGGACAAGAGAGCAGGCCTTATGAGGAAACGCTGAGGGACATGGGACTCTTCAGCCTAGAGTAGAGAAGGCTCATTGTGGATTTGGTGGCAGCCTATAAGTATATAAGGTGGGTGCGCCAAAATCTGGGAAAACAGTTGTTCTCCAGGGCTACCCAAGGGATAATAAGTTCTAATGACCAAAAACTTCTGGAAGGCTGATTTAGATTGGACATAAGGAAAAGCTCCTTTACAGTCCAAATGTCCAAGGTCTGAAACAGACTTCCCCCCCACCCCCCACCGCAGAGGTGGTGCAAGCACCTACTCTGGACTCATTCAAAAGGTGTTTGGAAGCATATCTTGTTGGGATCATTTGACCATAGGCAGGAAGTCTGCTGAGGCAGGGTGGCTGGACTCAATGATCTTGTGAGGTCCCTTCTAGCCTCTAATGTCTATGAAAACTATTAAATTCACTCTTATGCGATTGGTGTTGTGGAAGTCCACAGTCAGCTGCTTTGTGTGGTGCAGTGTAGGAGTGACATGCACCAAAATATAGTTTCAAAGCCTCACTCAGCTACCCCCAGCCCCACCCCACTGGTGTTGGAGGGTGATGAGGCCCCACATGCCTGTTGATTCTCCTATGGATGTGACCCTGCCTGTATTTCCTACCAGTGATGTGGACTCGGACACTGAAGACCCTTCACCACCCTCTCTTCACACCAACTAAACATTCACCACCACCATGTGCTTGCGTGTGTTGTCTGCTGTTGGCGAGTACCAAAACTGTCTTGTAAAAGTGGGAGAAATGGGTCCAGGGGGCAGTACAGTGGAGGTCTTGGAGCATTTCCCTATTTGTTACATAGTAAAGCAGCTTCCCTTTATGCAAATTTGAGTTACGCACCACTTTCCAGGAACACGTGTACAGCATAAAGTGAGGGAACCTGTATTTAGCAAATCACAAAAAAGTGCGATACCTAAGTCTTGGCACACACTGCAGCAAATGTTCTGAAGTAAACAGAAATATAAGCAGTCAGCAGAAGGGGTGAGTTAAGAAATCATGACCTCCTGGCTCTAAAACAGCACAGAATTCCTTTTAGCCCAAACGTATTTGGCTAACAAGTCTCCCAGAAATCCTGATTTTCTCTGTTTAAAAATTGCAAATTCTCCGATACCAAGAAAAAATTGCCAACTCTGATTGAAAAATCCCAAATCCGCGTTTTTCCATGATTAAAATGAAATACCACTATATGTATAGGTACCAGGTGAACACAATGTTTTATTCCTGTATTTACAATGTTAAAGCAATTGGGAAACTTACTAGTGCCTCAATAGTAGAAAAAAATCAGAGCTCCCCCTGCCCACTTTGCTCACCAGGATGTGGGCTCAGCTGCTGCTCTGCCCCTCACAACTTTGTGGCACTGAGCGGCCCTGATATGCCAGTGCTCTGCACCTACTGTGGCCCCTCACTCCCTACCCGCCCCCCTCCCCAGGTCCTGCTGGCACTCCTCACTCCCCACACACAGCTCATCACCCCCCAGCACTGCTGGTGCCCCTCTACTGTGACCCATAGCCCTGTGTCATCCCCCCCCGCACAGCTAGAGAGGGGGCCCAGCTGTCAGGACTATAACGCTAGGGCCCACAGCCCTCTCCCCCCACACACACACACACAGCAGCACCCAAGCGCCTGACTGTTGCCCATGAGAAGCAGTGGCCATGGCAGCCAGGGCAGAGCCTCCCCTTCCCCCCTTGGGCAGCATGACCAGAGTGGAATCCATGCGGGGGGGGTAGGGGGTGGTGTAGGATGTGGGCTGTCCACTG